ATGTACTCACTAGTTAGTATTGGGACAATAATCTAAGTTTTTTATAATGTAAAATCTATCTGTCTACGATTCCCACCTTATAGTAGGAATATTTCAGAATAGGGAGACTGTTAGAAAATAAACAATAAAAAAACCGGAGGGATCAAAATCCTCTGGTCAAGCCAATTAAAAGGTTACCAACTACTACTTCTTTTTTTTTCTTTTTAAATTCAGAGTCTTACTCTGTTGCCAGGGCTAGAGTGCAGTGGCCTCATCATAGCTCACTGTACCCTTGATCCTTCTGTCTCAAGCTCCCAAGCAGCTGAGACTACAGGTGTGTGCCACCATGCCCAGATAATTTTTCTATTTTTTTTTTTTTTTGTAGAGATGGGGTCTCACTCTTGCTCAGGCTGGTCCTGAACTCCTAGCCTCTAACAATCCTCCCACCTCAGCTTCCCAAAGTGCTAGGACTACAGGCATGAGCCACTGTGCCTGCCTCACAACTTCTTTTCAAATGTGCTATTCAATTTGGTAATCTTTGGACATCTGCTGCTAGAAAAAGAGTCTTGGTTCACAAGAAATCAAAGATACATCAGGCTCTAACAGTATGACCATTTGTTTAGATCTGGGCTACAATTTTCCATTAAACCCAAAAGAACTTCTGATCGTGGTAAATGTACTTTTTTTCTTTTTAAAAAAATGACAGATCTACTCTATATAGTATCTTCCCTTCTGAGTGAGAAAGAAGAGAAAAATACAAAAGAGCCGAGTCAAATTTTGGGTCAATGAAATTTTGTAGTTTTCCTGTCAAACAAGAACCCTTGCTGTGAATTCTAAAAATAAATAATAGACATGCTCAAAAAAGATTTCATTTTATGAAGACTCTGCGCCAAAGCCTTTCACAGAAGTAGTGTGCAGAAACCACTAAATATCCTGTTCCATTTTCATTCTGTAATTATTGTTTGCTTGGTCTAATAAGTTCACAGTTCCATTAATAAAAGTGAACACAATAAAACAGTACTTTATACTCCCACCCAAAGAACTATGCTCAAATTACTTTACACTATTTATCAATCCTACATAGGTCTTGAAGAAAATAACGCAGCTTCATTTCTAAAGGAAAATCACTAATTAAAGTGAGATTTAGGACTGGATTTGTCTTCTATGAAAAGACGATAATGAGATATTTTTATGTATTACAAAGATAATACTTTTCATTATTCAAAATACATTTCCATTTCAGGCTATGTTTCAAAGCAAATTATAATCTTGAACTAGTCAACTTTATAGGTATTTTGAAAGTAATATTTTGTTATAAAATTTATTGATCTGTCTCTTGTTAATTAGCACAAAGACAGATTTATTTTCAAAAGAGAGGACATTCTTTCAGTCTTCAAAATATTTTTATTAAAAATAACTATACATAACATGCTCACTGTAAAGCATTCAAACTATTCAACTGCAGATAAAGTAGAAAAATCAGTTTCCACCTACCTGTCCCCTAAGATGTTACTACTTACTCTTAACACACTTTATATTTTTTTCCTTTTATTTTATCATATTGTAGGGGTACAAATATTGTTAGGGTTACGTATATTGCCCCTGCCATTCCTTAAACTTTATATTTTTTTTAAAAAAAGGTGAATCATATCTACAGCCTTAAGTGGTAGGAAGGCAAGAAAAGATTTCTTTAAAAAGCCTTTACTACTTCTTTATAATCTCACACACACACTTCAATTTAAGATTATCATAAAACATGAAAAAAAAAAGTAGGAAAATTGAAAGATGGGGGAGAATGGGACTATAATTTCAATATCTGAACTCAAAGGGGATTTTTAGGAGATAATTTAGAAATTGTCTCATTTTCTACCCTATCTTGGAGGAAATATTTATTTGATAAAAGGTTACAGACTAACATCAAGAAGTAGCTGACTTTTGAAGGTCAATTATCTGGGTCTAGTAAAACCTAAAATGTTACAAAACACTGACAGTGAAACATACAGAGAACTCAAAGAAAAATAAGAGCCAGCAATCTGGATGAAACATGACATCAAAATCAAGAACAAGGCACAAAGCTCTTTTTCTTCTCTTAGCCAAAATGAATAGGAATTGAAGAGCTAATCTGGAAGCAGAAAGAGTGCACACATCCCTGTCGGGAGCAGCTGCGGCAAGAAGACCAGGCACATTTACCCAGTCCCTGGGATGCACGAGCACTGTACAGACTTTCCATGAAGGGTCTTGACTCATCTGCCCTCAGCAGACAGGGAATCAGAAGCTATCGATACGGCTAACTGACAACACAATTCAATAAAGGTAGCTCTGGAGAAAGAACACTGCCTCCTGCCCCAAGTTACGAATTCGACTCAAGAAGCCAGACACTTCTTTTGCATATCTGAAAAAAAGGGAGTCGTGTGTAGGTGTGTGTATGTTCGCACATGCATCTTTCGAGAAGAACAGCTTCCAAGAACTAGGACGGATTCTGACACAGCAACGACAGGGATTCGATAAGCCTTCAGAGCACACACCAGTGAACAAAACTAACGAAAATCCTTGCCCTCATGAAGCTGACACTTTAGCAGGGGCAGGCAGAAAATAAATGAGACAAATGAATCAAGTACACAATATGTTAGAAGTTGAAAAGCACACTGGAGAAAAACAGAGCAGGGACGGGGGCCAGGGAACGCTGAGAGGAGGCAGCTGAATATTTTTATAGGGTGAACAAGAAAGGCCCCACTGAGAAGGTGATACCTAAGTGAGGAACTGAAGGATGGAAGGCACAAGTCTAAGAGGCCCACAAAAGCAGACTTAAAGCAGTTTAATTCTAAGCTAAAAAATTTACCCCATGATATAAACAAGAAATTCAAAACTAAGTTAAACCCCCAAATGCCTCTACCTCTCTCCCTCCACAACAAATTACCAAATTAACCTAAATGATGGTAGCTGAAAAAGACAAGTAAACAGAAAACTCCCATACGTGACGACTACTGCAATATGGTCCTGTCAGGAATCTCCTTTATTTAGTTACCAGAGCTCCTAATGCACCGACGAGGGCCCGCTGGGACCTGCGCACACACAGCCAAGGCACACATGTGCTGCTTTACTCTTCAACAGGTTCAAGAGGGTCTTTCAAAGACTCTAATCCTTTTGTCACCTGTGCTATAATTAGGTACCTCCTATCAGCTGCCTGACTGCATTTGGTGGGTGGCAGAATGTTCAGGACAATGGGGGTGGAGGGGCAAGCTGTCAGGCCCTGTAAGCATGACAGAAAGTATGGGACACGGCTAAGAGGACAACCAATTAGAAGAAAATGAAGGAGAAGGCAGGTACTAAGAGCCCAGGCACCAAGCAAATGGGTCAGGAATGATTTCTGAGGATTCAACCCAAATTAGAGGAAAGCAGAAGAGAATAATACCCATTCTGGTTGGCTTGAGTAGGCAGGGCATGGGTACTGACTGTCACAAAGCACAAATGGACACCCAGAGAGGAGTGTGGCTGGAAAGAGCAGGTACTGAGACAGACAGAAGGAGGTATTATTATAGAACCAAAGGCAAAGGAAGAAATGGGAACTAGAGCTCAGAAAGTTAGGCTGAGGGCAACATACAAGTATCAGAGCCCCAGGCTGTCATACAAGTGCAGTGGGTTTGTGACTCCAAGGAGAGTAACTGCCTGCCACCCATCCTAATTTAAGGACCTTGCCAGCGAAGGTGTAAGAGCTTCCAGGCACATCCCCCTCCACCAAGAGGCTGGCCTTTACTGGGGTTGTGACTGAGGATCGCAGCTGGGATCCAGGGTTGCATCCTTGTCACATTTGCCTTTTATATGTGTATGTATTCTTGTATCTACTTACATGCACACACACATATACATACATATACACCCAAGCTTTAATCCTCAAGTGTTCCTAATTCAGGAAGGAGTAATTTTATAAAAATTACCTCTTTTCCTAATAAGAGCCTAGTCAGGGACTGACCAATTATACCTGGTTAAGGAGTGTTTCTCACCATTACCAACCCATAAGAAATGATTAGCAACAGTGACACTGGGTGGCACCTGCTAGAAAACAGATCTCAAGTTCCAGATAAGCCTTTCTGATAAGACATGCACAGCAGGAAACAAGATGACGGGAGCTTTCAGTTACAAGGAAGTACACCTAATATTCTTTAGAAAAGAAATTGGTATCTATGCTGATTGCCTTCTTATATTTCCTATCCCTAAAAATTTGGCGAGAGACTATCTAGAATCTTTAAATTCTATAATTTTCAAAATCATTTGTATCAGAAATGAATTTATATATATATAAAATGGCACAGCAACAAAACTTGGCAATCCAATCCAATACCGGCAAGATCAGATATTCAAACTGCTTCATAAATTAATAATTTCTATACCACCTGTACCAACAAAGTGGAATCAGTGCTATATAAAAATGCTGGTTTAAAAAAGTTTCAATAAAACCATGTCCATTTTATTTTCTAAAGGAAAATAAACTGTCAACATTTTTAGGGATTCCCTTATTCCCTTGAATTCTGATGAAATTGGTCAAGTGTTAACTTTGAAGCAAGGTCAATTAAGGAAAGAAGCTCATCTCCAAACACAAATCAATACACCTTAAGATGCTCTGACAGTTCAAGAGATAATCATTACTTATCAGTCATTTCTGGTAGAAGTAGCAACAACTTAATGACTTTATGAGAATTTTTAATAAATAAATATTTTCCTTTTAATTCTGTTATAAATACAAGAGTGGTTAAGCATTCACTCCATTATGAACTATAATTTGTTAACTTCAGGCAAATTTGGCTTTATGAAAGATTTTGTGAGCTTTTCTATCATAAGATACTAAAGAATGTGTTACTAATTGTGCTTGTTACACCTTTTGGTTTTGCCATCAGGAAATTCAGAATCAAATTTGCGGTTATAGCACCCTGATTCACTCTTCCTATCACTCTATACTAATGAACACAGAATAAAAGCATTTAAGAACTACTAAAGGCTAGTAAAGATCCCATTGGAATACTTACCGGGAGCAATGGTCTCCAATGTATCAGAACTGACCTTCCGAGTACTTGTACAGTGATGGAGGGTGGAACCCGAAAATACCAAGTAAAAAACTACATCATCTTCAACTTTGTCCTCTTCAGCAAGCAGTACTGTAACAACACAATCGCCCTGGGAAAGGAAACGATATAACAAGTTTGCATTACTAAGGTTCCCCTTGGAAGTGAATTTTTATAAAACATCATATGTAAGCGAAAATCAAATATATCTTCTAAACTATGCCTCCTTTCTAGTAGTTTTAAACAAGTATAAATATTGACTGAGCACTTATGTGCCAGGCAATACCCTAGGCATTGAGAATACAGAATAAGATCTCTGTCTTCTTTAAACTTACATTTTAGTGGCAGTGACTAGACAAGTACACTAACTGAATACAGTTTGTGTATTTACTTGATGAATGGGTAAAAAAAAAAAAGGGGAGGAGGGGTTATACAAGAAAATTCACAAATAAGGCAGAGGATGGAAGGGGCATAATAAATAGTTACATCCTCATACTCAATAAGGTGCTTATTGGTTGCAGCAATAATTCTCTCAAATCTACACTTCACAAATCACTACTAAAGTCCACCCCTTCTCCCACAATGGTGGAGAGACTCTAACAGCCCGGAAATAAGAGAGTGCAAAGAGCATGAGCTCGGGCTCCAGACAAACCTGGATTTAAATCCCACTTGCAAGGACTTTACTTAGATCCATTAAACCTCAGTTTCCTTGACTGTATAAATGAAGATGATACTATAACAAAGCTCTATAAACAAATTTCATTGACCCCTATATGTTTTTATAATCCTCTCCCTCTCATGTTGTAGATTCTCAGGCCAAGAGGGCTTGACGACCTTTCTCAGTTGTTTCCTAGAAATGACAAAAAAATGGAGATTCTGAAGGCCCCTAAGCCAATACAACCACATGCTGTATAACAACATTTTCAGTTAACAACAGACTGCATATAGGACAGTGTCCTGACAGTGGTCCCACAAGATCATAATGCCATATTTTTACTATACCTTTCCTATATTTAGATACACAAATACTTACCGTTGTGTTAAAATTGCCTGCAGTATTTTAGTAAAGTAACATGCTGTACAGGTGTGTAGACTAGAAGCAATACACTATACCACATAGCCTAGCTACATGTAGGCTATACCATCTAGGTTTGTGATGTTCACAGAACAACGAAATCACCTAATGACTCATTTCACAGAACATATCCCCATGGTTAAACAACACACACTATGTATGAAAACGCATTGAACATGTTCAGCTCTCTGTCTATGGTAATATTCTTAATCTATTATAATGGGAGACTTGCTTTTCTAACAATTTGTGTTTCCTGACCATCTGGCATCCCTGCTTTTCTTTATCCAACCCTACATTAAGCTCTTGGAGTCAGACAAAAATCTTAAGCCAATAATTTTGTCCATGACTTTGCAATTATTTACAAAGTATGACATTTTTGTCTTTTAGTTACAAATATTCTTTAGCAATTGTTATAGTTTGATTTTTTTTAAATCAAGGCTAACTTAAATATTCCTATAAAATACAGCCCTAATTACCATTCTCCCAATTATAAACACTATATAATCTGTGTTGTAACCATAACAAAAGATTTTAAAGCAGCAAGGTTTAAAGCGCTGAGATTTAATATTATGTAAATCTTAATAATGCACTACGGAAAAATCAATTTACAGAAAGCCAGGCCATTTCAGCATTATAATTAGGGGAGTGAATCCTCATTACTTATAGCATTGGTTTCTGTTCCATTTTAGCAGCAATTAAAGACCATAAGAGAACCATGCCACCGTGTGGCCATAACTTATTAAGCACAGCAGCATAATTGAGCAGAAGATAGTTTTTCATTAAACAATGATAAGCAAAAATCATAAAGTCAAACTTCGGAACCGAGGCTCCTAACAAATGCTCCATTAGGTAGATTCTGGAAACAGAACTCAAAGTATTTCCCAAAGCCCCGAGTCTATCTCTTATTTGATCCCTAGTGCCTTGTGCAACACCCTATACATGGCAGGTGCTGAAATCAGTTGAATACAACATTATAGGAAGTCAGAATGAACTACAATCTCCATCAAGCTGTAACTGACTTTGTCAAAAAGCTAGTTATTAATGACCACTTTTTTTTTTTTAAATGTGAGAGTGTCAAAGCACCCTAACACAAGGAATATCATTGTTGGTAAAAGAGAATTATCACCATCTTCAGTCACTACTCAGAAGTGAACTTACTAACAAAGGCAATTTTCAAAACATTCTCAATTATAATTTCAGTTTGACCCAACCCCAGGAAGAGTACGCATCTACATCACTACTCCTTCCAATAATTTGAACTCAAGAAACAGAGTGTTATCCTTAACAAAGATATTTTCTATGTTTCTTCATCAGTGAGACTACATCCTTGAAGCTGACAAATTTTTCAGGGTCCTAATTAGTTTTGCTGATAGATGACGCAAGAACTAATGGAAAAGACAATCTTTATTAGGCCCCATTTCATAAGTATCAATAACCCCCAAATATAAATGCATTATGATCCAAAATGTCAACAACTGATCACCTACTTGCCAATAAAAACAGGTTTTTATAAAAGGGTTATCTTAAAAAAGGATTTTAAATGGTAGGCACAGTCTCAGTTTTTCCCATCCTGAACCTATTTATATAGATATATACTGTATTAACAGCCCTGTAATCACCTTTATTTAATTATTAGGGTAAAATGATTTTTTCACTTATATTTTTAACCTGGGATTCTAAAAATGTATCTTTGTTTTCTAGATCAAAGATTCCTTCTCCACAAGAGACTCAGCATCTTGCTGAGGGACTGTCCATGCCTCAAGATATTAGTGGTCTGAAGCTTTCCTTTAACTAGGGAAAGTGACCTAAGGAAAAGACGGCATGGGGAAGGGGTAGGAAGAAGTGAATTACAGTGTGGGGATGAATGGAAGGGACAGGGCCTTGCAGACAGGAAAGATGGCAGAGAGGAATTAGGGGCATGAGGTAGTTAGGAAGTTCTGATGGAAGAAGGATGAAAGAAGGGATAGCACTGATGTCTTAGTAAGACAGTGTCTGCCATAAGGTTTTTGAAGGTGGACCCAGTCAGCAGCAAAGTGACTGCAGTGGGATACTGGAACTGGCTTGTACAGGCACGAGTGCAGGCTTAAATTTTCAGGAATTCTACAAGCCAGTTGTTAAACTTAGCCATTATTAAAAATTAAATGACATAAGCTTATAATTAAGTAAACTATATTAAAACAATGTATTAAAGCTCATCATTTTTTAATCATTTACCACATTTTACCATTATCAATGCTCTTAGGGTTTACAGCTATCGTATCTACATAGAAATTCTATATAATGGTGTGTCCTGCATGTCTTCCCGGCACACATCTCTTGCCTACTCTGCGTTCAGTGATGTGGCCTTGACAGCTTGGAATCAGCCATTAGGGGACTATTTACACCACTTCCAAATTGGCAAATGCCACAAATCAGGGTTTTCTTTTTTTTCTTTTTAACCAGCACCCCATTAGAACAGGTCAGCAGAAGGGGCTTGGGGGAAAAGGGAGAGAATTTCCACAGAGAAGGCCAAGATGCCACGGCAAGCCCAGTTAAGAGAGGTCACCACTTATGGGAAGAATAGAGTTCGTGCTATAAGAGAAAATGCTAGATAGATACAAAACATCTCAGGTTATGGATAACAGTGTTGCCACAGTTCTGCTCACAACAGTTCCATATTATCACCACCTTAAGTCAGTTTGCCTTCTAACTTTATTTTAATTTGGTTTATAACTTGTTAGCATAGGGCAGTAGTTAAGAACATGGTCTCTGATACCAGTATGCCTGGGTTTGAATCACAGTATGGTACATTACTTTCTATCTCTTTAAACTGGGTATGTTATTTAAGTTCTGTATAGCATAAGAAAGGGTATCATACTTACCTCATAAGGTTGTTTTAAGAATGAAATGAATGATAAAAGGAAAGCACCTACAGGAGTGCATGGCACAGGGTTCAATGACTGCTACTGCTATGTACCAGAATGTGCACATCCCATGAGCATGTTTTATTCACTGAGATATCCCCTTTGTCTAGATTAATAAGTAATGGGTATTCAATACATACATTTGAAAAGATAGTCTTGAGAGGCATGTGCTAGGGGGATGTGACATGTTAATATGCTCTAGAAAAATTTCTCTCACAGCACTATCCTAAGAAGGAAGAAGAGAATAGAGGCAAAGAAACTAAAAAAAAAATATTAGAAAAATACAATGTGAGGAAATAAAAAGAGCTTGAACTGCTACTGTAGCAAGTTAATCTAAAAAGAAATAAATGTGGGAAAGGAATTCTGTTAAAAATAATTTGATGAAATCTGACAACTGACAGGATGGGGGCTGGAAGATAGTAAACATAAAGCACATGTACAGAAAAAGGGGTAACTTGTTAAGGAAAAACAGGTTGTGGGAATGATTTGTGAGGAGGATGATGAGCTTTAAATCTTAAGTTTCATATACCAGCAAGATAGATCATTGTAGATATTGTCTATCTGACAGGCTGTCAGAAAAGGGCTGAGCAGATCTGAGTATCAACCTGCACTAAGTTGAGAACTGAAGCCTCCACCATAGATGAGTTCTCCATGCTGACAGTGCCAGGGACTAGGCCCTTGTGTTCCTGCAGGGGAGGGCGGGAGGCAGAAACCGACCTGGAAAAACAGGCCAAACAAGGAAAGGCCAGTCAGGGAAGAGGAAAATCAGAGAACAGAGGATGGCCAAGAGGCAAGGATAGAAAGGGCTTGTGGCATTAAAAGGAATGATTTTTTAAACAATCCTCAGAACAGACAATGGAGGAGAGATATCTGAAGACAGAAAAGCAGCAAACTTAAAAATGATTTTTTCCCCCCATAACATACCATTCATCTATCTATTCTAGTGCCTCAAATCTAGAAATAGGCACTCTGGACCCAAGAAGAACCCAAACCCAAGTGTCACCTGGAAAGATCATGACACTTATTTCTCTCTGTTAATGGCAGTCAATTGAGCTCTCTGCAGCCAAAACCTTAATACTTATTTCCCATTTCAAGTCTTTCAGAAAGGTCATTTGTTAAACTAAAATAAATATT